TGGATTTAAGTATTTGTTAACTCTTTAATGAGGTAACAACTGTCCCATTTGTTATCACAAGAATGCTGAGTCATGGACAAAAGTAAAAGCAAAGTAGCTCAGCAAATAGTCCCCAGAAAGGACTGTGGCGTTAAGTAGCAGTTATCATAGTTAAAGATCTTCCTTTTATGTTTTCGCAACCCCTCGCAGCGCTTCGATTGAGCCGGGAACTATTCCCTCTAGACACCACCTACTAGCTCTGAGTGATAAAATCGCTTAGTTGAATTTCCTTTCTACCATTACTTCTTCCTACGCCTTTCTACGCATGCGTGGTGTTGGAAACCGTTTTCCTTTTCGTAGCACTAGGGATGGCAAAAACACGTACTGGAAAGGGCATGTTTTCGTTGGTTTTGTCGACAGCTGATCACCATTTAATGATCAACAGTTACAGTTGCATGGTCGTTACACTTACTAGGAACGTTTTTACTGTACTGGATCGTAAGATCAGTCAGGTAGCAGCAGTTGCTTTTTCTTGTTCTTCTAAGTGCTCTATCACCTCAAATTATTCAGACTTTCGTTTGGAAGCGGGTGGTGGTGGGGGGGGGTGGTACTTGGTTGCTGAAGTGTATGCGACAAGCCAACAGTATTATGCCCTGCTGATGGGCCTATCGAGTGACGAGTGACGCCGCGCTCGCGAGGGACCACTTGTTCTGCGTGGTCACTCGAATTTAAATGGTTAAGGGAGGGAAAAAGTCCATCTTGCAGTTCGCTGATATCCGAAACTTTTAGAGGTTCAACTAAGTTTTTGCATTTCCGGACCAGGTCACTAGATAGAACAATATTTAGAAGAGCCTCAAGGCTGTGATCGACTCCGAAACTGTGATGAGAATGCTCAATGTGTCTACGACAGTCACAACAGGTACTGTTTCTGGAGTTCCCAGCGCTCTTTTCAATTCAAGCAGCTTTACCTTTTCAGGATTCACCGATGTGAATGCTATGAGGGCTATGCTGGGGATGGAACGACGTGTGTAAAAATCCATACTACTGAGACACAAGGTGAATAGAGTTTGGAAAGTGCTTCGGGAACAGGAGAGGCTGGAATAATCGGCAACAATTTAGCTCGTCCAATGCCACAGCAATGTCGTGACTCAACGGATTGTCATGAAAATGGCCATTGTGTGGTAGTCGACGATAACGGCTACGTTTGCGAGTGTTTGCCTGGATACCGCGGTGATGGAATTCGACAGTGTGTCGTAGCTGGTAAGTGCATTTCACCTACTGAGATTTCTTGGCTGGGCCTCATTCAATCCACATTGGGCACGTTGTGGGCATGAGAAGTATCGTTCGTACCCGCACGACCTTCTTCCACAGCCGCATTGAGCCTGACCGCCTTAAACTAGGGATTGTCCAACTTCACCTTTTACAATTATTCTAAACCTCTGTAGAAACCTGCACCATGGAAGGAGGGAGGAGAGTTACTGTCTTCTCTGTCCCATGACCTTCACCCCTCCAACCATTTTCCATCGATGCACCCCCCCCCCTCCCTCCATAAACAGTTATTACTTTCCTACAAAACTTCTGTACAACTCCCATGTTGAAGATTCCTCCATCAGAGCAACCCCCGTTTTCCACAGCTAAACCCTTTTACGTACCTAAACCTATAATTATTATTACTATTACTGATTAATCGATGGATTTTATGGGGTTTGGTGGAATTTTGAAGCGCCTCTTCCAGATCAATGTAACCCAACGGATCCGGCAGGGTGCCATCAAAACGCCGAATGTGTCTACGGAGAAACTGAGCGTGCATACGTCTGCAAGTGCGTGCGAGGTAAGTTGTGCCGTTTAATCTTCGTGAAATGCCTCTCAAGAATTGTTTCAAATCGAAATTCCAAAAAATAAAATGTGCGGTCTAACAGCTATTGGGAGCCAGCAAAAATTCACTTATTAAACTCCCTTTTTTCGTACTTTTTTTCAAATCCCTATCCAGTCTGTGTGGGTCATGAGATCCTACTTGCGACGTATGGTGAAAGTGCGAAGTTGAATGGTCACGCCGTTGCGCAGGTGGTTGTAGTTTTTGCTCGTTACAGTGACTTTGATTACCTGGCCTAGACCGTTTCCTATAAGACTGCTTCTTCCCTTTCTTAGGCATGCCAAATGCTTCCTTTTCTATCTGAAAAAACGAGCGCTGAAAAAAACTCGCGCAGATATATCCGCGTCCCTGCCTATAAAATAAAAAATAGAGAAAGACAAGGAAAACCTGGGGACTCTGGAAACGAGCATTCTGTTGCTATTATTTAAGATGTGACCAGCCCACGAATTGAGCATTCCTGAAGGTACGATTCGATAGGTTCAAGTTGCAGTCCAAGCACATCGTAGAGGCGAAGTCGGCTACTACTGTGCTTTCCTCATCGGCGCGCTCCTCGCCTTACCGTATTGGAATTGATCGTGCACCAACGAGAGGGATAAACAGATTGGGCGTCCCCGCCCACACGACGAGCGTGGACTGAGCCTTTGAAACTCATGCTTACATATTCGGAGTTGAACATAAAACCGCTAGAAAATTTGAACGAGATTTTTGCCATAAGTCTTCCTTCGAAGGGAAAGAGTAGACTGAACCAGTGGATATAGTTTTTGAGACTGCCCCAATAGACATCACCTGCTCATGTGCGGGAAATCATCTATAGGGCCGCCCACTAAGGAGTAAGGGTTCACCTGCAGATGGAGTCCAGGCGATCAGCATGCCTACCGCTTTGGTAGGTTCAGTTCGCTAATACTGCCTCGCTTTCCAAATAAAACTAGGATTGCCTCTGTAGTACCACTGCTGTGAACCACCTCACATAAGGATCTTAGTTAGGACGATTTTAGGGTTCACTGGAGACGGAGTTCGATGCGTTCCTCACGCTCAACCTCAGACTTGCCGTGAGGAGCCACGCCTCTGTCACGCCAATGCTCAATGTGTCTTCAATCACGAGGCGAACACGTTCGCATGCGTGTGCAAACCAGGATCTGTTGGCGACGGAACCCATCGATGTGATCCTCAGGGTTAGTATTTCGTCCACTTTACAAACAATATGAGTGGACTTCAAGCATTTTGTGACGGAGGTTAGAGGGTAATTGTGAAGATGAAGACATTTTCGGATGTTTCAGAGACTCCACGCTGTACCGGCTGCTCCATCCATGCTCACTGCAGTCAGTCCCACACCAACGGTGGATGGCAATGCAAATGCAATGCTGGGTATCAAGGAAATGGACACATATGCAGTGCTATGAGTAAGTTATAGTTGATATCGCTGCTATCCATCGGGAGGGGGGATCAGGAGGCGTGGAATGAGCCTATCCGTGGCTCGTTTTCTATCAAGAGTGACCTGTTTATGTGGAAAGCACCTAGTAATGGAAAACGCCGCCGGTGGGGCCATTCCACTCCTCGTGGTACCGCCCCGTCGGATTGCGTTGATATCAAATGTATAGAAAGACAGCTCACTATAAACCCTACGAGTATATCGACCACAGTCAGTGAATGTGATTTGCTTCGTTGAACGCCTATTTTAATTTTAAATGAAGTTCCAACCCATGGCGAGCAACATTTGCTCGGAGCTTTAGGATGCACAAGTGGCTTGAAAGCAGCGCCGACGTTCATTTGATTTCCCGCGCCCTCTCTGGATATCATAGCCCTCCCTATACGGATGCAGGATGTACTAATTTGCATCTCAAAAAGGCGAGAAGATAGCCTGTTCGCTAGTGAAGAGTCGGCCGCTCCGCCCAACTGGTGACCACAACGGACCCATGCTTCTATTATCTAAGTCGGATGGTGCCTTGTTGTGCTGCTAACTTTCTCCCTTTCGAATGGTGATAATGAGGTGATAAGAAGAACCAGCTGATACCAACAGTGAGAACTCGTGCAACCGCGCCTTCCCTTCGCCCTCGGAATGGAGCTGGATAACAGTGATACCGGAGCACCTTCTCCATGCACCACTCGAGCTGGCGCGCGGCCGTCCGGCGCCTATCCAATGCCAGATCCACATTTCTGGTTGTTCTCTACCGTAATTGTGTAATTCTTTGCGGGACCGTAGTATTGATGCAAGTGCTGCACATTGAGGATAGCGCGGGTGGAGTGTGGAGCCGGCACCGAGTGTCACTGGACTTGTGCTGGACAAAGGCAGGACTACATTTGTCTCACGAATGTTCTACTACAACTTGAGCCGCCGTGAAGTTCAAATAAAACCCGCAGCCCATTCCATTCCGGTATGTTAAATATAGCTTGAGGCAGCTCGCATCCGAGGAAGAAGTTGGGTTCCACTGGAAGCCGCTGTTTCCCCCAACTCCATATGTACCCTGTTGGGGAATGTGGCCTTAGTTAGATGAACCTACAGGTAGGTATAGGTGCTGCTGTGGCAAACTGTCTGATATGTTCTCATCACTGAAACCCTGTATAACAGGCATGGTCCGAGGTAAAGTCGCGGAATAAATATCTCCAGCCCAATAAAATTTCGGCGCTGTTCGACTTAGGCAGGGGGGGCGTGCTTGCACTTTCGCTAGTTTCTTTTACCAATTCATGCTAACTAATAGGTCCCACTTTGCTGAAACTTGTAAACTCTTATGGAACTGCGAAGTGGTACAAGTGAGCCGCTCTGGTCTCAGGGGCTCACAGTTCTTCACCAAGGAGTTCGTACAAGCTTGGCTGAGTATCATTCGGTGTCCTCACCAGGCCGAACTGCGCCAAGTTTTCTTCTTCTCTGATCGCTTAGTTCAGTCCACTTTGTCTGGAACTTTGAAATATTCCACTGTCAACTGGCTACCCATTATATTCCTCTCTGAAAGTTATTACTGAAGTCGAGCGTGGATCTTACTCTCGAAAAGAAGGCGGAACAAATAGATTTTATTACCATTGTTTTACCGCTGCCCATTTTCAGAGGGCAAAGATACTTGACCATTCAAGCAATTGAAAGTTCATAACGGGTTTCATATTTAGCATCATGTCTTGACGACCGTTCGCTTCTGTGATCCACATTCGGAATGTGTTCCAACGAGAAGGAGGACTCTACGTATGCAACTGTCATTATGGCTATCATGGCAATGGGCGTACTTGTACTCGTGAGTTTCCTCTGAGCTTCGGAAGAGTCCTTTTGTCACCTGTATGCTCGTTTCTCTCTTGAAAATTTGGCCGAAGTATGCAGGTCCGATAAGCTATCGTTATTATCTTGCAGACGAGAGAGCGAGATGGCGCAGTTTGTCGACAGGAGGGGGGGGAGGGGGTGGAGCATTTTGGCACTTTTGCTACTCCCATTCGACGTGCCGCCTATCTGGAGACCTCTTCTGCGAGTTGACAGGTTTTAACATATGGCTGAACTACAAAAAGCTCACTGCGTTGTCGCTGACAGAGTGAGTACATGATATAACGCAGGCGGAACTGAGGAAGTCAATGATAGTACAAAATTGCCCCACCTAGCCGTCAAACCAGCACCAGCGTAGGTTAAGAACGCAGTCAGCGGTGGCCATTTTCCACCAATTGCTGCATCGATAACCCACAACGCAGGTGTCAGTGGAAAGTGCCCTACCGCGCAGACATGGACACGACTTATGAAAATGTTTCGGTTGTAAAAATGGTCAGGTGCAGTGGGCAGATTCTGAATTTCACATACATAAAAACAGATTTTCACTAGTGTCTCTCTCCCCACTGGAACAGAACTTCTTACTTCTTATTGGCGGTTCACACTTTTTCACTACAATAAACCGCAGCTATCTTCTAAGACACAAAAACATTTGATGGATTCGATGGGGAAGGCTGACTTTAATGCGGTACTGTCTCGCGCCCATGCAGTCAAGGTGCAAATTTGCATCTGCGAAATATTCTTTTTAGCTGATTCCGACTCGCGTGATGACGTTTTGCTTGTGTCTCGAGGTATGGCGATATTCCATCGAGGTATCAATCCGGAAGTGCCAGGAAAACAAGTGGGTCCACCCATACCTTTGAGTTCTTTGCACGCCTTATTCTGCCGCTAAGCTTGCCCCATCGTATGATCTTCGAAATGAGCATTGATTTCATGAACACTAATCAAGGCCATGCATAGCGAATCCGAGCTATGAGCTACCCTTACTGGCTCCACGGAAGAATCACCGACAACGGGCATACGGGCGTGTTAAGTGTCTCACAACGATAACGAAGTAGCAAGGGCTAGTGCCGATTCAAGGACAAAAAAATTCCTGACTTGCAAAAATCCCTGATAACAACGTGATATCAGAGCCCATTGATAAATGGCGCTGCCAACAAGTTTTCAACCAGTTACGGTTGCCTGCCAGCTTCCACAGTTAGTAGAGAAAGGACTGGCGCCAAGTCGAAGCATGCTCAGCAGCATCCAGCGAACAAGATTGTATACTCGAAATCCCTGAGATCGGGTAGGCGTGGCTGCGTACTTCAGTTTAAAGTGGCGGGGCCCAGGTCCTCGGGAGATATTTTCATTTTGGGATATAAGTAATCATGTCTCCATCCAACACAGAACAAGACGGCAGTTCTCTCAAATTGAAGTATCTCACGAGTAACCCGTTACAATGCTGAAAAGCCACGCCTACTCCGTCACAGGGATAAGGAGTGTACCTCGGCGCACGCGGCGTGGTACAATCTTGCATGCCGCCCGTGAGTTCCTCCGCCCCATCCCCCACCTTTACCAGTGCAGAGAGGTCGATGAAAATGAAAAGATCACAAGGATTTCAGATGAATCAAATTAGTCCCCAGCTCTAGCACAATTTCGTTTTTAGATCTTTTTTATTTAATGTAACGTTCTAAATGTGTTCATTTAGCTGGTCGTTATCCCTCATCATATCGCTGTCGGGTTGGACTATGATTGTCAAGACGCTCGATTCGTTTGGAGTGACATTTCCGGTATGTCTCCGCCTTCGCATAAAAAACTTCTCGGCCCTGTTCAAACTTTGCTACCCCTACTTCGAAAGTTTTAGCTCTGGGAGCCACATTTTTTTTCCCCGACAGGAAGGCTGACTATAATCTCTCGGCAGCTTTTACCCTCTGAACACAAGTATCATATTCGCTGGCCTAGAAATTCCATAGAGCACGCTACAAGCGCCTGTGCCTTAAACACCTCTAAACATCGAATGGAATGAAAACTTGTTCTAAGCAGCAGTGTTAAACAGTTATCACATTTGCATGACGGTCAGAATCGGAATGAAATCGGATATCCTCTCAAGACTACACTTTCTAGGTCACTCAATCAAGTCTGCCTCGCTAAATGGTACCGATATGAAGTCCTACTACAAAAAGGATCTCAACAGTCCGGAAGGTATTGCTGTCGACTGGTCATCAAGGTATAGTAGGCATTTCATTCCACCATGCCCAGGTCTCCTGAGCTGTTTCCCAAGAAGTTTCCTTATTTCCAGAAATGTCTACTATGCCGATTCGCTGAACGATGAGATTGGAGTGGCGTCACTTGATGGCAAATACCAAAAAGCGCTCATCACAGAAGGCCTTGTGAACCCAAGAGCACTGGCTCTCGATCTCAACAACAAGTTCGTAGCCATGATCGATTGAATGCATTCAAGGAAGACCTGATCGATAATCGATCAACATTTCCAGGCATTTATACTACACTGATTGGCATCGTGAAAACCCCTTAATTGGACGAGTTGATATGGATGGAAGGAACAATCGAGTATTTCTCAATGACGATATTCATTTACCAAATGGTATTACCATTCTCCCGAACCGACGTGAACTCTGTTGGGTGGATGCTGGAAACCACAGGTATTTTTTCAGTGATAGCCCCTGAAGCTCGAGATGAGCGCTATGAGCGACTGAATTGCTCAAGTCGTAAAGTATGAACGCACTCTATACTTCAGTTGCTTCTAAGGAAAGCAGGACTTCAAAGGGGAAGCAGCATCAGTACGCATAGCCGTCCAGATTCCGTAATAGCCCCTTTTTTCAGATTGTCTTGTATTGGCCTCGATGGTAATAATCGACGAGTTGTCTATGCACCACTACAGTATCCATTTGGATTGACGCACAACAATGAACAAAAGTTCTACTGGACTGACTGGAAAGAGTAAGTAATCAGATTGCTTAGGCAACTTTTTTCACATACGTGAAGCATCAACGAAAGACATTCGTGGATGAACTTCGTAGGATGGCTTTAAGAATACGAACTTCTAGCGCGTTGCACCCCGCCTACATTACATACTAACAGAAATCTTTGCGCCACTAAGGTGACGACAGTACGGCTATCCGGGCATATGATAATCAGGGGTGAATAAACTAGGCTGCGGCTACGTTTTCTTTGTAGACCGACCGGGACATCTTCACTAGCAAGTCATGCATCCTGCAATAATTAGGGCGTGAGTTGTAGTGGCAGCCAGAGTAGCCTTTCCACCAATTGTTTAGGACTAAGGATGAAAAGCACCACTGCTGATGAAAGCCCCTCCAGCAGCGCTCCGATCCAGACCCCATCGCACGCCCTATCGCTGCAGGGGTCATGGCGCGTCATGAACGCCGATGTAGAAAAACCTCGCGATGGGGCCCATCACAATCCCTGATACCTACTCATGGACATGACGAACATCGACTGTCTACATCACAACGACAGTCGTTCCCTACATCTTAGTGCTCAAAAAATAGTGATGTTAATATATTTTATATGATGTAATTTTTTATTTTCTTAAAATTTTAATTTTGTGTCGATATCGATTATTAGCTTTCTACATCTATTTATTTTTTGAGTTGTTTTTAGATTGAAATGATTATTATGTTTGAACTATATTGAATGCTCTAAAAATTTTTTGTGGGGGAAGGTCAAAGAGATAGCTCAATTCCCGTTTCGCACGTGCCCTTAGACGGGAATTGAACAAATTTCTGTATTCCTCCTCCGTGCTCATCAGTAAGGAAGGAGGAATCTCCATATTCGATTGTTAATATTTTCAACATAATACATATTTTTTGTATATGTTTTTGGTTTTTTAAGTGTATTAAATATTTTTGAACATTTTAAATATTCAACTTTTTTTTATTTTTTCAAAGCAACTACATAGTTATCGGGTGGGTTCACGCTTTGCGTCTGCAAAATGATAGAGTCGCATGCTGAATCCCTCAAGTTCGCCAATAGGAGAGTGTCATTCATCTCACTTTCGCACTTGAGGCTATGAAAGAGTCAAGCAGTTTTCATTCAAAGACAGTTGGCACATAAATTTCTGAAATGAGTAGGATCAAAATGCCTACAGGAGCGGAATTCCGCGAACCCTGAGCAGGCCAGCTGCAGGATAGGAGCTTTTCAAGGAGAGTGCCCTTAGCAAAGGTCTATCAAGCTACAACAAACCGATACGAGCGCCCACAGCACGCCTGCCCGTTACAAATGACGACCGTTCCTGATGACACATGCGGTATTGCTTTCACTGGCTGAGTAAATTATGAAGCGAAGGCAATCGGTGGTAAACGCTAGGTGCTGCGATTGGATAATATGAGTACAGCCATGCAGCCCATATCGTACCAGTTTACTGGCTCAAATGCCTGAATGAAACTTCAGTCGATATTGAGCTTGTTGACTTGTTAAGAACGAAGGCCTTTCTTCGCAAGTTTTGACTCGCTGCAGCTTCCTTTTTTCGCCTATATTGCCGCACTAGATAGCGCCCTGCTAGCAAATCTAGGTCGAGTACCAATCTGTCGTAGTCAGCTGCCTTTAAAGGCACATTCCGCGAAAATAAGGCCTTATGCCAAAATCGTTGTCGGGACGATCCGGAAGGCGATTTTTGAGGCTGCGCTACTTTCAAAATGTGAAAAACGGCAAGAACTCCGCTAGAAGCTGACTAATTAGGCCCATGGACACCCCTTAGGCCCATGCCGACCCTCACCGGCTGCTAGCTACTAGCTAGTAGCCACTATGTTATCTTTCTCTATAACATTTCGGACTGCTTTTTCTGCTGCTTTTCTCCGCTAATCAGATACTTAGCACTTTTTTGTGCCTATTTGAGTTCCGTTTCCCGCAATTTGCGGTCGCGAACTGTGCCTTTAAGGCCATATTCAACGTTATTCGTGTAAACGCCGGGCTAAAATTTTCAACGACATCAATCTGGCAGGTGGTTTCACCTGAAAGGACTATCACAACCGTTTGAGCCGAAACGAGCCTGTACCAGTATCACACACCTCGGGCCAGATATGTGCATACCTTACCCTGGTCAAAAATCCCACCTAAATTGAAATGGGTTTTATAAGAGAACAAATGAATAAGTAGGGAATGTGAAGCAATGTACCGTTTGAGAACCGCCACATAGTTATAATATGTGAATAGTGTGCGTTGTACACTAGCTACTGTACATATTCATGAATTAAGCCATATTTTTAAGTTTGTTTTGTTTTCAGTAATCGAATTCACTCGGTCGGCATTTATGGCGACGCCTACACGTCGTTCCCTATTTCAGTGGGTGGATCGGGCAAAGTATACGGTATATTGGCTGTACCGAGACATTGCATCGGAGGTGAGTTACAAACACGAATTTTTGGCGCTGTTCGACTTTAGTGGGGATGTGAGGGAGGGGGGGGCACTCTGGTGCTCTTCAGTTCCGTCTACGGACAACTGAACTCAATCCCTTTAGTTGCGTTAACTTTCTGTTCCTCTCAGCGTTCTCGGATTTGCTTGGCGTTTTGTGACCACTCCGGCCTTTCAAATTCCGACTTTTCACGCATAATAAGCTTTTCACCCAGCGTGGTCTCATTTCAGTTCGAAATTTTCATCCACCAAGAGGTTTTGTACCTCTGCGCTCTCTTATACACACGCTACCTACGGTCATTGTCTCTGCAAGCGATAATGCCCAAGAGGATGCATGGTCTGAAACAGGGTACAGCATCGTTGTGCGAAACACGTAAGGGAGGAGGGGGAGGGGGTCGTATATGGTCGTTGGGAGAGGGGGAGGGCTGTATGTGGCTTTGAGAGAAATTTGTCGTGCTGGTTTTCCGGTTGTTGACTTGTTGTTAACTTTTGTTGACTTTTTGCGTGATTTTTCCTGTTTCATGGCATTCTGTACCCCCCCGCTCCGACAGCCAAGATCTTTTGAGGAAATGGGGAAAAGTAGGAAGATTCTAGGAAGTTTCCCGAGAAAAAATGTGGAATTGGGGCAATTTTTCCGTTCACATGGCTATATACCCTCCTCCCCTCACTCCGCCTCCCTCCTCGACGGAAATAAGTTTGGTGAAATACTGACTGCGGAAAATGAAAGTTAGAAGTAGGCAGATGTGCCATAGGAAAGGAGGCGGTCGTTATCGAGACCCGGGGGGAGGTCGTACTGACGCTCTCTATCGGAGGAGGGGTCGTACCTACATCACCACCGCACACATCACGATGCTGCACCCTGGTCTGAAAGCAACCGGGGCAGCCTTTGCCACCAGTGTTGCCGTCCTCTGGCGAAAAGGCATCCCTGGCTGCGCCCATACCGCTTCACGCGCCCTCTCATTTAGGGGGATAATTACCGTAAGTCTTTGTAGTAGTTGCCCTGAGCCGAACCATAGATGCGCGCTTACAACTTTTTTTTCATTGACACGCCCTCCTCAGCGTCAGGCCATGGACTGTTACTCAGTGGCCTCTTACAGTTTCCACAGTGTGCGAGATCAAATCTCGGATCCTGCACGGTCCTAACAACTAAGGTTTCTATCCGTTTAGGGCCTGGAAGAATAAACTCATGAGAGCATTGTTCTAAGCTTAGAATTTAAGAAGAGTAAGACAGGGTTCAGACTTAGCGACGGCAGCGCTTCGGTCGCATCGGACGCGCTGCCTAACTACCCGAATCGGGCAATCATTCTGAGATATTTCAGCTGCAACGGCCTGTTCTGTCGATAACGGTGGTTGCTCGTATTTGTGCCTTCCTGGTCAAGATGGTGTCCGTTGTGAATGTCCGTCAAATGTCGCCGTCAAAGGATGTTGAGAATATCTACTAGCTGGGAGCCCCGTCTTCTAGAACCCAGTTGGATACATAGAAGATAATATTGCCAGACTTTAATATATCCATGTATAAGAATCCAGAGACGGTCCCTTTCTTGCTCGAAATTTCTCCAGAATTTTTTTCGTCGATTTTTATGCTCTCCTCACTGAGCTGTTGTTCATACTGTCATTATTCGTTAGGTACATTATCTGACCTCTATATGCCATTTTATTCAATAGCTAATCGTCAATTGTATTGTTTTACTGCCGTTAAACGTGTACCATATACTGAGAATATTGATTGGTTGTTAATGCTATCATAAAGTGACAATTTTACGATTTCAGAGCATTTGCTTATCATTTAGCTTTTGTTACATTATATATGCATTTGAAAAAGGTTTCACTATAAATTTTGAAAGTTTTGTTGTGGTAGAGCAACAGCGTATAGGGTCAGGAGATCCACGTATCGGTGAAGCAGAGCAACTAGCTAGTTATTTTTAACTAGCTGTCTCAGCATAATGTAGCTCTTTCACGGTAAATCGGTCAGGTACCGGTGCGGATGGCATCCACAGTGCCACATTCAACACCGCTCCCGTCGTCTCGCCGCAGAGTGGACCTCCTGCCCGTGCACAAATTCAACCAATCGGGCAATTACAGTTACAGGCGACAATTGGGAATTGTAGACGAAAGGGATCGGTTAACTTGGATGTTACCAAGCCTTTCGAGACCCTCCTTGCTCTCATGGCTGTCTTTCATCTAGTGTTCTGCCAGGACTGTTCAGGATGACTCGTGTGAATAGTTTGTAGACTGCAGACAGCACGGCAGATTGGGCAATAATTGCCAAGTCGTGCAAGTCTCAACACAGTCCTGCTGGTTTCCACGATGTGCGCACCTCG